TTCCAGTAAAAAAAGGAAGCTGGAAGTTATGTTTATTGTAGGAAGCTTCTCTATACTTCATGATACGTAGGTAATTTACATCTAGAAAGAGTGCATGCTAAGAACTGACTTCATACAGATACATGAATGTGAGATTAAACTAGCTTCAACAGTGACAACAGAGAGTGTGGTCCTCGTACCAACAAGAAGTGAAATATGCATCCAGTGGCTGGGGCATAATGGAATCCAATATTTTGGAATGTCCTGAGGGATTGATAGTGGGAAGATCTCTTGTAAATCTGAAGAATATAGATTTCACACATGGCTATATCTGGAAAATTTGCTCTGATATTAATATTGATAAGACCGAATTTCGTCAAAGTGAAATGGTATGGCTGAAAAATTCCTGTCACAAGGAAGGATAATCTTCAAAGGTATGTTGGTGTTGGAAAACACCATACATTGTAATGTAAATAATCAATGAAGCTGTTTACAGAATTAATAGGGACAGACAATCCAAGCCAAAGGTCATCTACTGTGATTATCTTTGGAAGTATGTATATGAGAGAATGGTCAACTGGGTAATTCCAAATAAAAATCTGTCAGCAGAAAGTCGACCTATTGAGGAGCCCAGGATTCTTGTGGAGACCATTTCTATTGGATCAACAAGGATAGAGTCAAAACTGGATTTGCTCGACCACCTGCCCAGAGAGAATTTCTCTAGTTGACAGGAGAGTAAGTAATTACATGGGACAAGTGGTCATCCCATCTGCATACCATGGGCCTTGGAAGGGAAAAAAATGAAAAAAGAGTTGATGAATAGACAGTGTAGCTATAGTGTTTTACTTTGTATTAGAATTGTTCAAGGGATTTCACAATTCAGGAAGGCAACAGTATTCTAAGCTATATTTTCAATGTTTTAATTTAAATGTTTGCTAGAGGATACATGACGTTAGGATCTGGAAAGTTCATTAAAATTGAAAATCGACAAGATTCATGTAATTTGTATAGTATAAATATATAAGTAACCAGTGAGTTATTCTGTTATACACACTGAAAAATGCATATGTATATATATATATATATATATATAGT